ACCCAAACCAGCCCAAGTTCCCCTCCATCCCCCAACCAGCCCAGAACCCCTTTCCTGCCCCCACACCCCCTCCTTACTTCCCCATCACCCCTCACCAGTTCATCCCAGTCCCCATTCCCCACCCCACAAGGCTGGACTCACGCTTAGTGAAGGCACCGTTTATTCCCCCAGCGCCCGCCGCAGCCCCTCGGCCACCGCCGCCACGTAGGGCTCCGGCCACCGGCCCCGACGACCACCCGGTCCCGCCAGCGCCCGTAGGAACCCCCCCGTCTCACCGGGCAGGGCGAAGGCAGGGGCTGCCCGGAGAGCTGGTGGCACCTCCGGTACCAAAGCCTCCAGCCGGGCCACCACGTAGCGCCCGTTGCCCGCCGCCAGCGCCGGCACGGTGCAGGACAGAGCTGCTGCGAAGACCTCACAGGGCTCTACGGTGGGGACATCATCACGGGCACCGGGGAATTGCCGGGGGCCGGGGCAGTGCCGGGGGCCGGGGCTGCTTTCAGCATCCCTGGCCCACGGCACAACCCCGGCCCCGGTGTCCCACAGGCGTGCGGCAGCCACAGCCGCCGGGGAGAGGAGGAGGATGATGGTGTCACCCTCACGCAGCGCCCGCCGGTGCTGGGCGTGCAGCCATGGCAGCGGTCCCCACGCCGCCACCCCGCTGCCACCTCCCGGGGCTGCTGCCACCGCCAGTCCCAGTGAGCGCAGGGCAGCCGTCAGGGCACACGCCGCTCGCTCGGCCACCGGCTCCACCGCGTGCACCAGCAACGCCCGCCGGCCTCGCAGGGGACCTGGGGGGTACCATCAGTGACTGAACCCCCTCCCCGGGCACCCCGTGCCCACCCTGTGGTGGTGGGAGGCAGGCTGGGACACACACACACCCCCCGCCACCCAATAGGGGACCTATCCCCCGCTCTGTCCCCTGACCCCCCTTACCCATCCTGTGGGACAGCCATGGTGGAAAACAGGCCAGCATCACCCCATATGAGGAACCCACCCCTGATCTGTCCCCCAACCCTTGCAGCACCCCCATGCCCACCCTAAGGGACAGCCACAGTGGGAAGGAAGCAGAGACCACCCTCCCCACCACAGTGGGGAACCCACCCCCTGCTCTGCCCCCTGCAGAAAGGGGATGGGCACCCCTGCCTCCCCCACCCAAACCCCAAGCTCACCCCCACACTCACCCTCGGAGCCGTAGTCAGCCCTCAGGGACTTCAACCAGCCTGTGGGGAGGGAAGGCAGTGAAGGAGGGTCCCAGGGAGGGTCTCAGGCCACGTCACAGCCCCCAAAGTGGGCACCGCTCACCTTTCACGTCCTCCTTCTTCAGCAGGAGCAGGAGCAGGAGGCAGGCGGCCCCCAGCAGCGCGCCCATCCACGCCAGCACCCAGCGAGCATGCAGGTCTGCAGGGCAGGGTCAGTGCCTGCTGAGGGTCCCCGGCACCCAACCGAGGGTCCCCAGCACGTGCCCTGTGGCTCCACAGGGTGGGTGCCCCTCCCTCAGCCCCACACCAGCCCCTTCTCCCCCGGGGCAGCCGGGGGACACTCACACTTGTGCAGGGGGCAGGCCCAGAGCGTGACCCCGGTGCTGTTCTCAAGGTGCCAGATCTGCAAGGGATGGGGACATGTCACACGCTGCCCGAGGACATGCCACACGCTGCTTGAGGACATGCCACATGCACATGCTGCCCGACCCACGCCCGCTGCCCGCACTGACCTGCCTGCACTGCCCTGCCAGCACATCCCGCCGCAGCTCCCGCTCCAGCCGCCCTGGGTGCCCGGCTCCCTGCAACGGCACCAGGGGGTGACCCGGCTGTGCCACTGGTACCACCGCCACCACGGGGACACGGGGGTCCCTGCCCCTTACCGTGCTGGTGAAGCTGGCGAGGGGCGTGCAGGAACCCCGCTCCAGGGCACACAGCGAGGCATTCCCCCCACGCTGCAGCAGCAGGAGGTCACTGGCATGGCCAGGCAGTGCTCCTGGGGATGTGACAGGGGGCTGGGGGACGCGGCAAGGGGAGGCCGGGGCCTGGGGGGGGGCGTCACCCCCCAGCCCAACCCCCAGGTTGGGGTACTGCCCTCCCAACCCCAGCAGTACTTACTGTCCCGCAGGCACTGGGTCAGCCGGACCTGCCCGCCGCCCCACACCTGCCCCAGAGAAAGGGTTAGCTGTGCCCTGGGGCAGCCGTAGGGCAACCACGGGGGGCAGGGGGATGTCCTACCTGCACACAGAGGTTGGGATGCAGTCGTAGCCCCCCAAAATCCTGAGGTCCCTGTGGGTAGGAGATGCTCCATCAGTGCCACCCATGTGTACCCACCCATACCCCAGCACCCCACAGAGCCCCACTCACCTGCCCCATGGCGGGCTGCTGCAGGCCGGGCAGGGCTTGGCACGGTCCCGCAGGCTCCGGCCGCCAGCAGGGCACCAGCTGGGCTGGGAGGTCGCAGGGGGCTGAGAGGGAGCAGGTCAGCACCTGCCCCTCGGCATGCAGGACCAGCCGGCTGCGTGCCCACAGCCGCTCCCAGGCCTCAGAATCTGCAGTGGCACCAGGAGAGGGGTGTCACCTCCCATGTGATGTCCCCTTGGGTCCCAGCCACCCCGCGTCCCAGCCCCGTGGTGCAGGTACCGTGGGAGAAGGGGCACAGCGTGGCCCGTAGTGGGTCCTGGATCTCCGGCCAGACCTAGAGGAGGAAAAGAGAGAGAGGAACAAAAGGATTTGGGATGCCCAGGCTGTGACCGTGACCCAGCTGCCCCCCTTGGGCTGCTGGAGGGGGCCATGCCATGCTGGGAGCCCCTCTGCTTTGATGGCAGCCCTGCCACCCCCACAGTGCCCGGCCGGGTGCCCACCTGCAGGCAGAGGCAGGGCAGCACCTCATCAGCTGGCAGGCTGTAGTTCATGGGGCCACTCTGCCGCCGGGAACCAGATGTGGGTCACCCCACGGGAAATTGCTCCCTGGTGGGGTCACCCAGCCCAGGGGGGACCTGCCCCCCTCTCCCAACACCCTGCCTGGAACACAGACACAGCTTCCCAGGGGGCGGGGAGGGGGGGGAGCAGTGGCTGGAACCCAGCCAGGGTGGGGAGTTGGGGAAGGGGGTCGTACTCACCGCGGTCACCGCGCGCCCCGACCCACCAGTGCCGTGGCTCTGGTTGTGGTACAGCCGCAGGGTGTAGCTGTGCCCCGCCGCCGCCCCCTGCACCTGCACGACCACCTCCTTCGGCCCCGGGGAGACCTCCAGCCTGGGCACTGCAGCGGAGGCGGCTCAGGGCACCCGGCACCCTGGCACAGGGCATGGCACCCTGGAGGGGGGCCACGCTCTCCCCCTGCACCCACCGCCCCCCAGCTCCCCAGGCGACACGTGCCAAGGTGGGGGGGTCCCAGTGCTGCCACGGCAGGGGGATGCCAGCACTTACCTTGGCACTGGGGGACAGCAGCCTGTGCCGCGGGCCACGAGCAGTCTGCGGGGGACAGGGGGGTGTCAGCAGGCAAGGGGGACGGGGGCCACCGCGGCAGGGCACGTCGGGGGCTCACCTGGCACCCGCTGCCGCTGGCTCAGCCTCCGGCGCCCACGCGAGTTGGTATACACCGTGACGTGGAGCTCGGAGCCCAGCGGTGCCTCGAAGCACTGGAAGGTCACCCAGCCCTAGGCAGGAAAACCACCACCGCGCTGCGGCGAGGAACTGGCACCGCCCGGCACTCAACTCCCCAGGGGCACGGGGAACGGGACCACCGTGCCACGGAGACCTGCCGGTGCCAGCACCCACATCCCCACAGTGCCAGGAGACTGCCGGTGGTCGGGGACACTCATCCCCACCGACGTACCAGGGGTCGGCCGGGCAGCACGAGGTCCGGGGACGCCTGGACCTCCACGGCCACACAGCGGGAGGAAGCGTAGGCGTGCCCGGAGAGCAGCAGCAGCCCGGTGACGTTCGGCTGGGATGAGGCAACCTCGTCCACCAGTGACCACCGTCCCCCCTCATTGTTGCCCTCCTCCCCAGGGATGCCTGACGGCGTGGGGCGGCGGGGCTGGAGGGTGCTGGTACCGGTGCCAGGCGGCAGGGCGAGGCGCAGGCGCACCTCCAGGCAGGGCGAGCAGGCCGCGGGCTCGCTGCAGCGCAGAGCCGGCTCCAGCCGCAGCCGAGCCAGGGACGGCCCGTTACCGAGCCCCGGCAGCTCCGTCCCGCACAGCACGTCGGTGTCTGTGGGGAGAGACGGAGGGCGGCCGTGGGTGCGGGGGTCCCACACCCCAGACGGGCCGGGGGCCACGGTGGTGGCAGTGGCACTTACCTAGGAGGTGGCAGACGAGGCCCTGGGGGGGAAGGCAAGGGTGAGGCTGGTGGACACGCTGGGGTGGCCACGCTGGGGTGCCCGCTGGCAGCGACACCGACCCACCTGGGAGCAGGCCAGGGTGTCACGGGGGGCCCCGCGCCCACCCGCCGTCCCCACGGCCAGCAGCAGCAGCAGCAGCAGCCGTCCCAGCCTGCGCATGGCGGGGCCGGGGCCGTGGGGCGCCCCGGCCCCAACGTCGTCCACTCCCGACGGCCCCGACTCCCCGGGCCCCGCCGCCGCCACCGCCGGCTCCCGCTTCCTGCTCCGATCCCGGACACCCGGGTCCTTGCGCGGCGTCGGCGACCGCCCCGGGGTGGGGCCTCCCCCGCTCCCGCACCGACCCACGGACGGGCTCGGCGGGGCGGCCCCACGGCGCGGGTGCGGGACCTGCCCTCCCTCTCCCCCCTCCCGTGGGGCGACCCACCGAGCCCCGGGAAAACAGACGGACGGCGGGACAGGGTGAAACGGTGTTTTTATTGCTCCCGCCGCCGGGGCGGGAGCGAGGAGCGGGGCCGGGCCGTGCCCCGCCGCCAGCCCCGGGCAGCGCAGGGAGCTCCCCCCGTCGCCCGGCTCCTTCCAGCGCCGAACCGGCCCTTCACCCGGCCACGGCCTCCCGAGGGGGCTCCCGGGTTTCCTTCGGAGCAAATCCCTGCGTGGAAATAAAGCTGCCCCTGCCCGGGACAGCACCTCCGCTCCCGGCCCCGGGGGAACGGGATGGACTCTCGACCCCGTCCCTACATGTCCCATGGCCGGGGCCAGCCCTGCTCAGGCCTCCCCCCGGCAGCACCCACGGGCCCTGATGGGGGCACCCCACGGGCACCCCACGGCACCCTTCCTGCCGTCCTGGCACCACCACGGTGCACTCCGCCAACTTCCGTGATGGGGCCCCCCTGCCCTCACCGGGGGCTGCCCCCAGCAATGCCCAGCTCAGCCCCGGCGTGGGTGCTCAGGTGCCAGCAGCTGCTCCGGGGTCCCGCGGTGGGGGGCTGCCCCCCCCAGCCCCCGCCTGCAGCAGCCGGTGCAGGAGTCCCTCTGTCCTACCCCGACCGCAGCGGCGGGGGGCCGGGGGGCTGCCCCGCAGGGCACCCAGCAGCCCGGGCAGCTGGCGGGGCAGGCGGTAGGTGGGGAGGGGACGGAGGGGCCGGGGGACATCGCGGGGGCTGCAGAGCCGGCTGAAGTAGGCCAGCACCCAGCCACCGCCGCGGTCTGCCGCCCCCAGCTCCCCGTGCAGGCAGGCCATGGCTGCCCCAAAGATGTCGTGGGCGTCCCCGGGGACACTGCTGGCCGCCCCGACCCTCCACCGGCGGAAAAGCTGGGTGCTGCCCCGGCTCCAGAGGAGGAGGACGGTGCCGCGCTGGCGGCCCACACGGCCCCGCTGGGCGTAGAGCCAGGGCAGGGCGCCCGTCTGCCCCACGCACCCGGCTTCCCACAGGTCCAGGCGCACGTCGCAGCCCAGCCCCGCACGCAGCCGCTCAGCCAGGGCACACACCAGCCCCAGGTGCTCCTCCGAGTCCGGCGAGTACAGCAGCAGCACCGGGCGCCCACCTGGGGCACCTACGGGATGGAGGAGACAGTGGTGACAGCCCTGCCCCCAGCCCCCCTGGCATGCCCCGGGGACACCCCGGCATCCCTCAGGGACACCCCGGCATCCCCCAGAGACACCCCAGCATCCAAGCACCTACAGCCCTGCACCACCACCCACCACCCTGGGACCCTCTGCAGCCCTGGGAGCTGTCACCCCCTCAGCCCCCCAGCCTCATGGCCACCACAGCCACTGCCCCTCTGTCCCCCCAGAGCCCCCCAAGGTGCCCCTCACCAGCAGTTGGCCTCCAGCCTCCACGGCAGTTGAGGAGCAACATGGTCACCACCAGTCCCAACACCAGTGCCAGTCCCAGCAGCCCAAAGTGCCTGCGAGAGACTGGGAGAGGGGTGGTGAGAGAGGGGTGTCCGCCCACTCCTGCCACCCCCCACAGTCCCCCAGGACCCCCACTCACTGTCAGGACAGAGCAGCTGCTTCCGAGCAAAGCGCACATCCGAGCGCCACACCTGGAAAAGGGGCTGGGTGAGGGGGGACCAGGCTGGGGTCCGTCCCCCCCCCCAAAGTGTGGTTGCCAGCACAGGGGTCACCTTACCAGCACGCAGCTGCCCAGGACCTGCACCGGCAGCAGCAGCGCCAGCTCCCCCGGGGCAGAGCCCTCCGGCTGCAAAGCACAAGGACAGGGTCAGTGCGGCTCAGTCCCTGCTCCGTGTCCCCCCCCAGCGCTGCGCTGCTCACCAGGGTGACGGTGTAGAGGGGGGCCTCGGGCTCGCAGTGCCCGCCCCGCTGCTGGCAGAGGGCTGCGGTGAAGGCTGCGGCGATGCTGGAGGTGAGGCGCAGGTGCAGCTGCAGCCCCCGGGCACTCACCGAGACGTTCCAGGCGGTCTCTGTGGCCACCGGAGAGAGAGAGGTGGCTTGCAGGATGCCCGAGGGGATGAGGGGTGTGAGGGACCTCAGGACAGCACTGTCCTCAACCCAGGGGTGCCCCCCACCCGCGGGGCTCACCTTGTCGGTGGGGACACTCCACGTGGCTGCTGTTCCCATAGGAGAACTGGAGGGAGTAGGGGTGAGCCCAGGGGCCGGGTGAGCCACCATCGCTCACCACTGTCCCCAGCCCCTTCACAGGCAGTGCCCACCTGCCCAGGGGGGCTTACCCGAAAGCAGAGCTGGGGGTGCACGTCCACCTTGTCCAGTGTGTATGCCTGGTATGGCCAGAGAGCACATCACAGTCCCCGACTCACACAGCCCACGGGCACCCCAGCACCCACCCACCACCCTGGGGTCCGGTGGGTGCCCTAGCCAGGGGCACAGCCCTACAACCCTCCAGGCTGGTGCTTCGCAGCACCCCAAAGCCAGGACTGCTTACCTGTTCCTCCTCACTGGCCGTGGAGTTGGGGACATCGTGACAGGGCGCAGTCTCATCTGCTGCCTCCCTCCAGCACAGGGTGGCCTGGGGGTGCAGGGGGCAGCTGGCACTCAGCACCATTGCCATCTGGTCCTTGCTGCTGGCGCTGTAGTCGTGGAAGTGCACCGAGGACCACAGCTCAGGGCCATCTGTGGGGCGGCACATCAGCGGGGTGAGGGGATGGCCGGGGGACCCCTAGGACCCAGCTCCCCTCCCTGTGGGCACTCACAGAGAGCTGGCTGGTCACGGAAGGGGCAGCGCTTGCTGCGTGGGCTGTCGTGGTCAGGGTAGGAGGCCTGGGGGAGCAGAGCAGGGTGATCAGGGCAAGACATGTCCCCACCACCCCCTGCCTGCCCTCCCCACACAGACAGACACAGGCAGGGAGAGCAGCCTGGTGGTTGCAGGGGACGGTGACGCACCTCGATGCACAGGCAGGGCACCAGGAACTCATACGACAGCGAGACGCTGTGGCCCCCCAGCACCAGCACCTGTGGGCATGGAGGCAGCGTCAGCTGGCGGGGAGCACGGCCCCCAGGCTGGGATGGGGGGCGACCAGGGGGGCTGGAGTCATTACCTGCTGGTGGAAGGGCCGGGGCAGCTCCTCGCACACCAGGGCCAGCTGGTGGCACAGCCGCACCATCAGGGCAGGGCCCTCGGGCACCTGCACCTCGATGGCCCGCTCCTCGGGGACCCAGGTATGGGTGAAGACGGGTCCTACAGAGCAGGCGGGGGGTCAGCTAGCGCCAGGGTTCCCCCCCGGGACACCCCCCATAGGATTCCCCCCCCCAGGCTCACCGGGCGGCTGGGCAGCAAGACGGTAGCTGCGGCTGATGGCCAAGCCTCGGTCAGGGATGGTGCGGAGGGAGACGAGGACCCGCCGCCCGCTCTCCGCTGGGAAGCAGTCGAACTGGACCTGCCACTGTGGGGGGAGCGGGAAGGGGTGAGGGGGGATGATGAGTGGGATGTGTCACCCCACTGTCCACCCCCACGGTGTGCCCCGAACTTACCGGCGAGCCGCCCGGTGCCCAGTGCCTCCGCCACACCTGCAGCCAGCCGGGGCGGTTGGAGCCCAGCTCCAGGAAGTTGAGCTGCAGCCCACGGACACCGCCGAGCCCTGCGAGACACCGGCGTGGGGCATTGACACGGGTGGGAGGGCGAGACCCCCCCCCAGCCCACCTTTACACACACACACCCCCCCTACCCGGGAGGAGGGGGGGGTCCTGCCCTGCCACCCCTGCCCCTACCTGCGGCGGGCAGGGCCAGGCGCACCCGCAGGCAGGGCTGGCAGGGCTGCGGGGGCAGGCACAGGCGGGCCCGGCTCAGCGCCAGGGCGGGCGGCTTCAGCGGGGGAGGCCCGGGACGGGACGGGCGGCGGCGGCAGCGGGGACGGCTCAGCGTGCTGTCGGCTGGTGGAAAGCAGAAAAAGGGTGGCCCGTGCGCCGGGGATGGTCCCAGCCCATCCCCGGGGCACCGGGAGTCCTCGGAAGGGGGCGGGGGGAAGCGCTAGGAACGGAGAGATCCGGGGAATGGGAATTCCAGGCGGAGGGAGCTCGGCACACGGGGAGGCCCGGGAGCGGGGGAGCCCCGGACAGGGGTAGTCTCGGGCAGGGGGGGAGCTCGGCGCACCGGGAGAGCCGCGCCCCGGGAGTCCTGAGCACAGGGGAGCCCGGTACAGCGGGAGGCCCCGCCGAGCCCTGCGAGACACCGGCGTGGGGCATTGACACGGGTGGGAGGGCGAGACCCCCCCCCAGCCCACCTTTACACACACACACCCCCCCTACCCGGGAGGAGGGGGGGGTCCTGCCCTGCCACCCCTGCCCCTACCTGCGGCGGGCAGGGCCAGGCGCACCCGCAGGCAGGGCTGGCAGGGCTGCGGGGGCAGGCACAGGCGGGCCCGGCTCAGCGCCAGGGCGGGCGGCTTCAGCGGGGGAGGCCCGGGACGGGACGGGCGGCGGCGGCAGCGGGGACGGCTCAGCGTGCTGTCGGCTGGTGGAAAGCAGAAAAAGGGGGGCCCGTGCGCCGGGGATGGTCCCAGCCCATCCCCGGGGCACCGGGAGTCCTCGGAAGGGGGCGGGGGGAAGCGCTAGGAACGGAGAGATCCGGGGAATGGGAATTCCAGGCGGAGGGAGCTCGGCACACGGGGAGGCCCGGGAGCGGGGGAGCCCCGGACAGGGGTAGTCTCGGGCAGGGGGGGAGCTCGGCGCACCGGGAGAGCCGCGCATCGGGAGCCCTGAGCACAGGGGAGCCCGGTACAGCGGGAGGCCCGGGAGTCTTTGGGGGAGCCCAGGGCAGGGGGGAAATCCGCACATCGGGAGGCCCGACCGGGAGCCACGGGAGCGGGAGAGCTCGGCACACCGGGAGCCACGGCCGCGGGGGATCCCCGGACAGGGGGGAGCGCAGCGCACCGGGAGCCCTGAGCAGGGGGGAGCTCGGTACACCGGGAGCCCCGGACAGCGGTAGTCTCGGGCAGGGGGGGAGCTCGGCGCACCGGGAGAGCCGCGCATCGGGAGCCCTGAGCACGGGGGAGCCCGGTACAGCGGGAGGCCCGGGAGTCTTTGGGGGAGCCCAGGGCAGGGGGGAAATCCGCACATCGGGAGGCCCGCACTCCGGGAGCCCCAGGGACCGGGAATCCTCAGGAGGGAAACCGGGGAACGGGGATCCCCAGGCAGGGGGGAGCCCCGCGCCCCGGAGCCCCCCTCGCCCCGCAGAAACCGGTGGCCGGGGGGGGGGGGAATCTCGCCATCCCACCGCCCCTGCAGGAGCCGGGAGCCCCGGAGAGGGGGAGCCCGGGGCTCGCAGCCCTGCCCCGATCCCGGCCCCCACCGCTACTCACCGGTGGCCCGGCACTCCTGCAAGCAAAGAGACGGGGGTGAGCGCGGCGCCGACCGAGCCCACCCCCCCCCGCCCC